ACATGGTATGATGATACACAAGTAGGATACTGGAGGAGAGAGAGAGAGAGAAGGGGAGTGGGGGAGAGAGAAATTAAAAATAAAAGACTTTTATCAAACAGAGAAGGAGAGTGTGACATTATAAAGATACATGTACATGCACATGATAAAATACTTTCACTTACTGAGCACTGGATACAAGCTCCATTTCTCTCTCTGCATATACAACACATCAAATTCCACCTACTGACCTACAGATACACATATAATATAACCAGGGCATTATACCCTTTCAAAAATTAAATATGCTTTGGAACAATGCAAAAAAGAAGCAAATGACATAAAATATATAATTAGCTTCCTTTATAAGCACTGGATTTTGCAAAAGCTATCATGGGTTGCCCTGGTTGCCTAGGATACACACCCACTGGTAGCAATGAATATGATTATTATTCCTGAGCCCTTAAAAAAAGAATTTCCAGCCTTTAAAAAATGATCTGACCATTAATTTCAATATTGTATAAACACAGTTTACACAAGTACATACTGTTAACCACATAGGGAGGACAACCCATGATAGCCTTCTACAAATAACTGAGTATATAAAGGAGACTATTGTCCTAGTTCATGTGTGGACTAGATAGCTTAGGCTTTTCAACAATTTTTGAATAGGGTTACTTCATTAGTACCCCTAGTAGTACACACAAATAATGGTGAAAGAAATACTAACACAGAAACTACAATGAATTAAATAGCCCTCACTGGTATTGAGTCAATGTTAGTGATTGGTTCCATCTTGTCAATGTTAGCAATCTTGACCTCAGGGATCCAGAGAGCACAGGACATGTGGGCCCAACCATTACCAGGTCTATTAAAATAATAACAATAATAATAATAATAATAATAATAATAATAATAATAACAGCAGATGTATGATACTGCATGTATAATTAAATTTTTGCCATAAATAACTGCTCCAATTTTATTACATTTTCTACTAGAAAATCATGGATTACAGTTAATGGTTTTTTCCCCCCAAAAAAGACTTCAAAATCACCCCAACTTTTATTACTTTTTCTGATACATATTGATGTCCTTATACTATGTAGAAAGTTTGAGCTGATTCCGACTTCAATTTTTCAAGTTATAGCCATTTCAAGAAAACACCAAAATTCTGAAAAATACCCAAGGCTATAGCTCATGGTTTTTTCTGAAAAATGGCTCCGAAATCACCCCAAATTTTTATTACATTTTCTGATACATATTGATGTCCTCATGCTGTGTAGAAAGTTTGAGCTGATTCCGACTTCAATTTTTTGAGTTACGGCCATTTTAAGAAAACGCCAAATTTCTGAAAAATACCCAAGGCTATAGCCCATGGTTTTTTCCAAAAAATGGCTCCGAAATCACCCCAAATTTTTATTACATTTTCTGATACATATTGATGTTCTCATGCTGTGTAGAAAGTTTGAGCTGATTCCGACTTCAATTTTTCAAGTTACGGCCATTTTAATTGTGCCTCTTGTACATTAATGAAACCACAAAATAAGATTTTCTCAACAACTTCCTTTCCCTCCCTCTCTCCCTCTCACTTGACTCTCTTCATGGCTCCATTCTTATTAGGACACAGTAGACACTGAAAAGGTCGCGACTGCTGACTAGTACAAGGTCTACACAACCAGCTGCCCTTAGGGATCAACTGGACACCATAACACGCCTATAATAAATGAAATAACATTACAGACGTTAACACATCCAATGAACATTAGATATGCAAGACATTTTAAATTGTAAAAAATACCAAATGCATGTACATGTACATGTATACAAGTAAATGTACATGTAAAAAATAGTTAATTTTTGTGAAAATGATGTAATTTTAAATTTTGGGCCACAAAAGTGTCTTGCTAGTCAGACAACTTTCTATAACTTTCTGTCTTGTACTTACACGTACACGTACACGTACACGTACATGTAATTTTACGTTAAATTTTATATTCATTTAAAACCTAAAACTAAATATTGAAGAGAGTGGCTAAACAAAAGTGGGTGTGGTCAACTGCTCATTATTAGTTACCTGGTGAACACAGACATTGCATGAGTCACAGAAAATCATTTCATTGGCTTCTTCACGCTCGGGCTAAAAGAGAGAAAGGGAGAGAAAACAGGGTTATAATGAGAGCAACATATAGTATAGCGGGAAATTTTGGAGGGAATTAAATTTGGTGAATTTAGTGGTTTGATAGCAATTCGCCAAAATAAATCTGCCATTTTGAGTCATTATACGCATGCTCAATGGCACATGGCCACAAATTCACCAAATTAAAATTTGCCAATCACCAAAATTTAGCAATTTGCCAAATTTTAGTCCCTCCAAAATGTACATGTACATTTGTACATAGAATATGTACAAATGTACATGTATAAAGAAAAACTAGCCACTTTTATTAAAAATAATTAATTTATTCATGCTTTAGTAAAATGGTTTTAGACTTTAGATTAAAGGTATCAAAAAAAATAATACATCACAACAAATTGATGCACCAATCATAAGAAATGTGATACTATATTATTATAAATATTTCTTACGTCTTTACAAACGTCACAGACAATCGACTGGTCGTACTCAATCCTCAATGACTCTTCTGTAGCCAGTGCCTTTATCATATTATAATAACACTACAGTAATGATGATAATAATAATGATAATAATAATAATAATAATAATAATAATATAAGGGATTTTTTGTTGTTGTTGTTGTTATTGTTGGTGTTTTTTTGTTTGTTGTTTTGTTTGCTTCTTGTATCTTTCTGCCACCATTTTAATAATAATAATAATAATAATAATAATAATAATGATGATGATGATGATGATAATAATGAATAGTAGATGTATTATTTGACCATCACTTATCCTACAGACAAAATAACTGACACGGAAATACAAGTACATGTACATGTAGTACAACTACATGTATATGTACATATATGTAACTAACATTATTATAATTATAGTAAGTGGATCAATTCCCTCACGTACACACACACACACACACACACACATACACACACAGAGGCTGATAATCAGTAGATAATTAAAATAGTGAAATTGTAAATTTCATGATAAGAGACACTGATAGGCTTACATGTACATTTATATACACATAATGGGGACACTGTACATTAGTAGTGCATTTCACTAGTACATTTATACAGTACATCATTATAATCATTATAAAGGAGAGTATACTGTAAGAATATGGACTACATGTACAGTACATGATTTAGGTGCATATTACATGTACAATGTACGTAATAATTAATCGCTCACTTTCTTTTCCAGTGTCATTATTGATGATTTTAATAGTTTCTCAGTAATACCATTGGAACCAGCCAATACTGAGAGAGGGAGGGAGATGAAATGATAAATATGTATTAGTTAAAGCACTGTTGAGAGTAGGTTACGGAAATTATTGCACGAGGGGCGGTCGAGAGAAAAATGTAGCACAAGGCGAAGCGAAGTGCTACATTTTCGTCGAGACCGTCCCAAGTGCAATAATTTCTGTAATCTACGAATCAACAGTGCTTTGATTGGTTTGTAGTGGTGCGTGGGCGGATCAAATGAAATTTCAAAAGTCGCGCAGGTCGCCAGTGCAAGACGATCAGATCTCATTTATCACTATTATTATTGTTACATGTCTAGTGTATGTAGCTGTGGCTGTGATTCGCCTCTATCAAAGCTTGTGGTTAACAGGAAAGCCCATACATATTATACTGTGCAGTGCTATATATTCCACGCAGTGCTACATTTTCCTATCATGCGGTTATTGGAAGTTGTAGCACTGGTGGCGCCTTTGATCCGCCCACGCACCATACTACAAATGCACATGTACTGTAGTCATGTACATGAGTGAATTAAGAGAGTGTGGGTGTTAGTATCATAGTATGACACATGTTAACTTATAATTATTTGTAAAGTACATGTATAATTAATTGTTAATTAAAGTATAATTAATTGTTACTTTTATATTTTCTCTTCTCATTGACTAACTGTAGCCAAGCTTGATCTAGCTCATCAATCTCATAAGTACCTACAAATCAAATTGAAACAGTAAAATTAAATGATAAACATCACGAAAATGTAGATAAAGTAGAATGTACTGTACCTTTGAGTAATACTTCATCTTGTGTCAGTTGTGAATTAACTTCATCAGAGAAAAACTCATCAGGTCTACATGAGGGGGAGAGAGGGAGAGAGGGAGGGAGAGAGAGAGAGTATCACGTATAAAAAGAAAGGATAATTAAAAAGGTGAAATATACATGTAGGAGTAGGTCACACAAAACAAACCTTGCAAATTTTTGTTCCTCCCTGACTTCCTCTAACGAAGATTGCCTGCAAAGAAAACACAATAAAACCACACCCATCAACAAACTAATGACCACACCCACAAACTAACCTAACACTTGATTGAGGTATTGATTCAGGACTAACACAAACCTAAATACAAAAAATGATAAATATATGTACAAGTGTGTGTATGTGTGTACCTGCACTCCAACTTCCCATTCTGATCTCCATTGGTCTCTGATTTCAACGTAATTGGATGAATCAAGATAATGAGAGTCAGGTAGCTTCATTGCTGTTATGAGATCTGACCTAAACAACTGAACAATCAGAGAGAGAGAGAGAGAGAGAGAGAGAGGGAGAGAGAGAGAGGGAGAGAGAGAGAGAGAGAGAGAGAGAGAGAGAGAGAGAGAGAGAGGGAGAGAGAGAGAGAGAGAGAGAGAGAGAGAGAGAGAGAGAGAGAGAGAGAGAGAGAGAGAAGGATAAATTATTGGTTAACAACCTAACATTATACATGTACAGTACATCTAAAAGGAAATTTTCATGAGGCAATATCATAGAAACCCAGTCTATCATAACCATCTGACCACAAAGTGAGTTTATCTACTCAAGTCTGACTTAGTCATTTTAGTTTAGTTAAGGAAAAAGATATACTTTATTTTTATTTATACTTATACCGTACAGTGGGAAATTTTGGAGGGGATTAAATTTGGCGAATTTGGCAATTTGATAGCCATTCGCCAAAATAAAAATCTGCCATTTTGAGCCATTATACGCATGCTCAATGGTACGTGGCCACAAATTCGCCAAATTAAAAACCGCCAATCACCAAAATTTAGCAATTCGCCAAAATTTAGCCTCTCCAAATTTACGCGCTATACAGTACTTCATTCATATTTTTAAGTGTGCCACACCTCTACAAGTGCTGGTTTCTTCATGCAACCTGTTTGACCATTTAAAAGTCCGTACTCACCAATATTTAGTAATACTTATGAATTTTATTATTACATGTACGTGAATTGTATTATTATCATTTCTTACTTCAGCAGTTCGTGATGATGATGATGTAGATTGTCCTGTTGGTCCTCCTCCTGTTGACATGAATCTATGATGATAGCCTGATGACATCACTAAAAGAAAATAATAATAAAAATAATAAACACATACACAATAGGTGATGGGTGTGGTTGTGGGCGTGTCTTACCTAAAAACCGCCAGAAGTGCTGGTTTCTTTTTAAAGTGTCTTGTTTGCCTTTTTCTTTGGCTTTAGAGGAGGAAGAAAGAGAGGGCGGAGGAATGAGAGAGAAAGAAAGGACAAAGAAAGCTGTACTCGGCTACATCAAAGAGGACCATTCTCCTCCCTGATTGAAACCATCACGTGATGTTGTGTGGGCGTGGTCCCATCACGATGGGCGGTGCTAAAATAAGCACCGCCCACCCACGTGTAACAGCAATGTCACTGAACAACTTCACTCTTTCTTTTTCCTCACATTTAAGGAGAGGACGGCTCATATTAGGACTTCCAACTGTCAGAGACTATGGTAAAAAACAAGCCTCGAAGCCATGGAAGCAAGAACCTAATCGTAAAGTCCGCATGACCCTCATACTCACAGAAAATGTTGAGAATCTCGGCGTACGTGGTGATGTGGTTCAAGTTAAACGAGGCTATGGTAGGAACGTGCTGCTACCAGAAGGGAAGGCAGTTTATTCGCATCACGAGAACTGCAAGTTGTTCGGGATAGGCGACATTAAGGAAGAAATAGAGAAAATGAAGGACGCGGGGGGTTTTAAAATTCAAAACACTATTAGGAAAATGCTCGAGAAAGATTTGGTTTTTAAACGATATCGTACAGGCGGAAAATGGAGTATAAGAGAAATGGAAATATCTACAGCATTGCTTAAAAAGTATCACATGCATGTTCCATTGGACTGTATTAATATGAATAAACCAATTACTGATTATGGACAGACAACTGTGACAGTTAGATTATCTGAGGGTGATGATAAAGTTGGACCGGAAGTGGTAAAGTTGCCAGTGACTGTTAGTCCCAAGGAGAGGCCACAGAAGAAGAAGGAAGAAAAAGAACAAAATGCTGAGACATGATTAATTCAATTCATTTTTGCTGTACTATGCCATGTAAATTAATTGAAATGAGAACAAAAAACACAATGTTATTTCTATCAAAACATTAAATGAGTGGGTGTTGAACAGTTTATGGGTGTGGGCCGTGTGGCTTTGCTTGGAATGTGGGGAAGACAGATATTCCAACTCTTGTATATACAAATGTAGGTGGATGACCTTATTGAAATAATTATGGTTTTTTTTCTTTTAGTTAAACAGTTGTTCCGTATGGGTGTCACTGTAGAGTGATTGACTTTTGTTGAGTCCTATATCATTGAGGTAAGAACTGAAAAGTATTTCATAATGCACACAACAATAATTATTTAAAGTATCAAAAACTAAAAAAATATCAAGAAACCTACTACTACTCATACACAGTCACACACCACACGTATAATGTTGAAAAATTGTTTCATTGTCATTTATGCCATGTTCATGTTTAATCGTCAGACTTCTTACATTTTTTTCCAATAGTTGGGAGGAGGATTTTTTGAAACAATATGGGGCCATATATGAAGGTTGTAAATATGGTCATAATGAACCTTGTTGTGTTATTGTGGTTGCAGTGTGGCCCTGGAATGTTGGCCGTATTTGAATTTGTATTTGATACGGTGCATTTAATGGCCCCAGAGCAATTCAGCGGCTTGTTATTATCCATGAGGAGAAAGAATGCAGCAACAATCACAAGTGATGCTGTGACTGCTATTACATTTATTTTTGTTTTCCCATTTTCCATTTGAGTTATGACCCTTATCACTTGAACTATAAAATAGATGATCAACATTATCGTTATAGTTGCCCATATGCACCAAAGAAATCCGCTCTCAGTTGTGTTGCACTCCAATGTGGTGTTAGTTAATATTGTGTAAAGTGCATCTATTTCCAATATTATAGCAATGGCATTGCTTATAAAATTTTGTGCCTTAGCCACGTCTTCATTTCCATTGTCTTCTGTGTAATATTTTTGTACTATCTTTTTAAATCTTGGCACGAAAACAAATCCAGCGAGCCCAATCACAAGCAAGTATTGTGAAGTATACCTGTATTTACTGGCATTTTCACTTTGTATGTTATAGAAATTGGTGATTTTGTCGCCAATGAAATAGGACCAGTTAGCTATAAGCATCAACAAGTCAGCCATAAAAGTACCAGCTATTAGCACTAATGGATTAATTTCTTCTTCTTCTTCCTCTTCTACACACATAGAACATATTTGCTTGTACGTCCCATAAAGAAATAGGATGATCGTGACAATTCCCAACAAAGAGCCAGTCAAAGCAAAAGCGACTATTTCGATAGTGTTCCAGCGATCAATTGACTCTTCCTCTTCAACAAACAGCAGGGATAGCTGGACTATTATGATTTTAAGAAGACTAAACGTGAAGACAGCAATTTTCATATTGTTGTACATCTTCATAGTCTTAGTATAAACTCCAACTTGTTCTTGGGTAGCATGTTGTTCTGGATCATTTTGAGTACGAGGTGGAATAGGAGGAGGTTGAGAAGTCATTTTAAATCTTCACTTTCTGTTCTTAGACTTGTTTGTATAGAGACAGTATAACGCTGCTTTTATGTTTAAGTTGGTAACAGACTTTTTATAGATACCCAGTAATTCTCTGGGTGATTTCCCCAGTAAAGTCCCCTCCTTCAAACTAAATTAAGTCACGAGACAAGAGAGTTATAAAAACATGTGTACAGATATACTGTCACTGAACAATATACATTCTCATTTGGTTCACTACACACCTCATTATACACATGCACTCTCACTGTATGCACGTGAATGTCATAATGTAATATGGATATTATTTGATGGTGGTTTTAGAACTGAAAAATCAGAGATTTTTTTGATCACATTTGTGTTACTGAAGTGATATCATTCATTCATTGTTGTGCTTTATGTATTGCCCAAATAGTTTTTCGTTTTGCATTCATAAGTTGTTGAAATAGTATAGAACCATTCTTTGTCAGGCTGGGCTAATTTGTCATTAAAAGTTTCATTCTTGCAGAGCACTATTATTGGGGAAACCCATGTACTACTTTGCCTGCATGTTAGACTAATATTCCCTGAATCTTAATTCTGTGTTTATTCTATATACCAATGAATGGGCTGGATTTTGGTGTACCAATAGATTACAGTTTCACTATGAAATCAAATAGAGGGAAGTTACTTTAAGCTAGTTACAAGTAACTCATAAAATAAACGCATCTTTTAGTGTACAATGGAGTGTTATCTCCATATTTAGAAGTGAAAGAGCACAACCCACTTATTTAATTAGCCCACTCATTTGATTAGCCCACCCACTCACTTATTAACAATAGGGATTACTAAAATAATTTAAAATTAAGAATTGTAAATTGTAAAAATTACTGAGGTGTTCTATGCTAGAAGCATAGAGCTTTTAGTATTTGCTGCAAAAAGTGTTGTTGTGGCTGCCATATAGCACAAAGATATTGTTGAATAGCTTAAGGGAAAATGTTGTGACTTTTAGTTGGCCAGGAGCATAGGCGTAGGAATTAGGGGGGGCTAAGGGGGGGGGCTGAAGCCCCCCAACTTTTCAGCAAGAAGGGCTTAGCCCCCCCATGTTCACATGCTAAGTCATGCATGCTTTTTAATGTTGAGCCCCCCAACTTTTGAATCATTCCTACGCCTATGGCCAGGAGTTTCAAAAGTGAGGACTGATATCATTGTAAAGTTGCTCTTTTTTTCTGTCTACATTAGACTGCATTGTGTTAATGCACAGGTTAATAATGGCTATCATTATTGTAAGATTTATGTAAAGAAATTCTTAGAAATGCAAAAAACACAATTAGCATTCATTTAATGAATAATAATTTAGTGTTCAAGTAGCTGTAGGCTTATCTTTGCCTTCTTTTTTCTTTGATTTACCACATAAAATAGGCAATAAAAGAAGTGCAACAAGTATCACCTGAATAGCATTCAATACAAAGCGAACAATGTTATTGGCTTGACATTCGGTTCCAATAACGATTTGGTTTGAGGTACTGTTAAAGAGTTCATCACTGATGTGTGCTGTGTTGCATGTCACGTTCAATGCATTTAGCTCGTTCATGTCATTGATTTTGACGCATTTTGTGCCTCCTAGACAATTGAGTGCCTTTTGGTTGTCACTTACCATGAACAAGATAATCAGCAAGACTGAAAAGATTGTAGTCCATGCTGGTATGCAGCGATTTATTTTTATTTTTGATGCTATTGTGAATAATTGGAGGCCAACATAAGGAGTCAAGACAGCAGGGATTGTTAATAAAGCAGCCCAAGTTCCTACTATTTGGCGGTTAGAGCAATTGTTGAATATATTCTCAAATAGCGTGTAAATTGCATCTGCTTCTGGAACTTGAGCGATACTTTTTTTAACAATTTGCTTTGTTACTTTATAGTCAGAATCAACAAAGCTTTGTACTTCATCAATAGTTTCTTTACCGGGCAAGTTGCTTTTTGAATCCTTTGTTTTTTCCTCTGAATCCTTTGTTTTTTCCTCTGCATCTCTATTGAAGTACTGGTATAAGTATCCCTTGAATATTGGCACATACCGGAATCCAAGTGCTCCTATAATTAGCAAAATCTGTGAAGCCATTTTGAAGCTTTTTGATTGTTCTTTAATTTTGTAGAAGTTTTTCAAATTATCCCCTATGAAGTAGCACAATATCGCACCAACCATTAAAAAATTTGAAAAACCGTATAAGGAAATCTCGTAACCTTTTTTATCATTTTTTGTTTCTGTTTTTTCTTTGTCCTCAATACACTTACGGCATGCTAATATGTGAATTATTAGCCATAGGATGAATGATGCTATTACTAAAGCTGCAATTTCTCCGGCCTCATCACTGATGGTGACACATTTTATGTACGATGTTGTGAAAATTTTGACAAAAGATACAGCAAAACCTTTCACTAGATCAATGCTGTAGGCAATTATTTTGAGAGTGTCAAAAAAATTAGCAGACTTGCTGTAGATTTCTCTTTTATCCGTGTTCACTTTCTGACCGAGTGTTTTTGCATCCTTTTCCACTTTCTGACCGAATGTTTTCACACCCTTTTCAACTTTCTGACTGAGTGTTTTTACACCCTTTTCCGCTAAATCCATTTGTATCACTCAGTAACAATAATAATAGTTTTAGTGAAATTAATGCCGTAGACTACGTAGCACTAAAAAGAAACAGCAAAACAGCTTAATTTATAGAAAAATACAAATTTATAAATAGAATTTGCGAAAGTTACTAATAATAGAACTTATGCCGGAAAAATGGTTAAAGTTATTTTGGCTGAAAACACATCAGCGACAGGGTGGTGTGCCAAATATTAATAATAATGCACTAGTATTGTTTTATGAAGCAAAAGTACATGTAGTGCATTTGTACCCTAGCTATTCCTAGAATCTGCTGTGTTTATTCTATTAATGGTGGGTATGTTCTTGGTGTATACCAGTGGGTTCTTTGTTATTGTAGTTGTGGTAATTTGCTAACAGAGATGAGATGGATGTAAAATTTTAGCATTCGAACATTTTATTGATCAAAATGAACAAATGTTTGAATGTTTTGCACCATGCATGGAATTAATCAATCAGTTTGTTGTTTAGACACTCTAATTAAATGCAGGATCCTACACCCAATATATAGCTCAATGTTAATGATTTATATATCAGACTAAATAAGTTATGTATGTGATTGATTAGTAGGCATGTCGGTAGGGTGGTACATACCACACCTATTGACACACCTACTTATATTTGAACACCTGCTGCAGCATTTGAATGTTCTTCTTAACGAACAAACATTCAAATGTTTCAACATTTGTCCCAGCCCTATTAAGTAATAGTCTTTCTCTCTTATTCCCCAGATTATATGCAATGGTATATGGCAAGGAATAATTTTGTTCAAGATAACTATCAAATGTGTCTTACTATAAATGAAGCAGGAAGTGGCCCGGGAAAATATAATCATGATGACATACAAAGTATGTTGTTTTAAATATGATGCATGTAATATTGTATGAACATATGGATACATTATTAAAAGGACACCATTATACATTAAGTATTGTATAAAAACTGAAAAAAATACTATGAGACTTGATCACTGCACATACATCATAATTATAAAATTGTTCCACCTTGTTGACAAGTTGTTGTGTTAATTTTAGGACGGTATTGGTATGTATTTCCTACAGAGTTTCTTAACAATTAAGTAGAATTTAATGACAAATGGGATCATGTATATAAATACTGCAAATATGGTCATAATGAGCCTTGTTGTGTTGTTGTGGTTGCAGTATGGCCCTGGAATGTTTATGTTGGTCGTATTTGAATTTAGATTACTTGTAAATGTATTTGATACGGTGCATTTGATGTGTCCAGAGCAATTCAATGGCTTGTTATTATCCATAAGGAGAAACAAAGCAGCAACGATCACAATTGATGCTGTAACAAATCCAGCCTTTATTTTGTCATCGATATTTGTCATTTGAGCTATGACCCTTTTAGCTTGAAATATAAGATAGATGGCCAAACTTATCAGTATAACTGTGTAGATGAACCAAGGCATGATGGACTGAGCTGTGTTGCACTCCAACACTATGTTAGTTAGTATGGTGTATAGCGCATCTGTCTCCAATATTAGGGCTATGACATTGTTGATGAAGTTTTGTGACTTAGCTAAGTCCCTCCACTCTGTTTCATCATCTTTAGTGTTATCATCGTGGAAATGTTTTTGGACTACTTTCTTGAATCTTGGCACGAAAACAAATCCAGTTAATCCCATCAAAAGAAGGAGTTGCGAAGCATAGCGATACTTAGTGGCATTTTCACTTTGTATGTTGTAGAAATTGGTGATATTGTCACCAACAAAGTAACTCCAGTTTGCTAGTAGCATCATAAAGTCAGCCACAGTATTGCTAACCATTCCTGCTTTAGTGTTTTCACTTCCACGTACTTGTTTAAATATTCCATAGAGAAACAAGCAAATGGTAACAACTCCCAACAAAGAGCCAGTCAAAGAAACAGCAACAATTTCAATAGTGTTCCAGCGATCAATTGACTCCTCCTCTTTAACAAACAGCAGAGATAGCTGGACTATTATGATTTTAAGGAGGCTAAACGTGAAGACAGCAATCTTCATCTCATTGTACAGCTTCATAGTCTTAGCGTAAGCTCCAGCTTGTTCTTGTGTAGCATATTGTATGTGAACTTCAGAACTCATTTTAGGCCTTCAATTTCTGGAAGCTCCTCTTCTTAGATTTATTTTTATAGAGATATATATAGTTGGACTGATAAACTTGCCAGTTAGCTCTTGTATATTTATTTCTTTTATATCAAACACAACGAGTAGGTTTACTAACTATACGTCAAGGGACAATCCCTAGGAAAGCCCCTTCTATATGGTGTATTTTATGGTGGTTTATTTTTAATCACTGTATTCCTGGTAAATTCCCCACCGATTCCCCTAGTGAGTCATGCAGGTGCATTAATTGACCACATTTTGTTTACTACCTTGTTCTATGAGTTGTATTTACAATAACTGGACATAATTATTATGCCCTTATAAAGCAAAGTATGATAACACCACTGTATATAGTTACCGTATTTGTTCAGTTTATCACAAATGGTCAGCTATATTCACAGAAACTATAAATGAACCACCTTAGCACGTGTATGTAACTCATAACTGCTCATAATAATAAATTTTATGAGTCAAACTTATATATAATTGTATCATACTTTTATGCTTATTTTGTTAATGAAAAGTGGGATGGTTTTTGTATAACAGTGGGTTCTTTGTTATTTTAGGAGTTACTATGAATCTGCAGTTGGCTTTCTCTCCTAGAGAGAAGTGTTGGTATGAACTGGCTATAGTTCATATAAGTGATGGCATAACTAAGAAGAGTCAACATTGAGGTAATTTGATTATTTTATTAAGAAAAACAGAGACAAAATTAGCTTTTAATCCTAAAAAAACCTAATAAGTACTTATTATAAATGTAGTGTTCAAGACTCTTCCTTTTTGTCTTTGCATAACTTTTCCACAGCAAAGAAGAATAGACCCCAAACCATTATTAGTATTATTTCTAAGATTTGTAGCCCAATGCGGGCTTGGTTATTGGCACTGCATTCAGTTCCAATAACAATTTGGTTTGAAGTACTGTTGAAGAATTCATCACCAATGTGTGTCGTGTTACATGTGGCGTTCAATGCATTAAGTTCGTTAATGTCATTGATCCTGACACATTTCGTGATGTCCAGACAATTGAGCACCTTTTGGTTATCACTGATTGCGAATAAGAGAAGCAGCGAGCTTGTTATGCCCACCGTGACTATTGTTTTTAAAATTTTTTTGCATTCAGATTTCATTTTGGATAAACTGCTCAGTGTTTGCATGCCAACATAAGGACTCAAGACAGCAGGAATTGCTATTGTAGCAGCCCAAGCTCCTGCATTTTCCACTTCAGAGCATTTGGTGAATATATTCTCAAACAGTGTGTAGATTGCATCTGCTTCTGGAACAAGGGCAATACTCCTTTTGATGATATTTCTGTCTCCTGACCCAATCAAGTCCTTTGTTTTTTGTAGCATTCCTTTGTTTTATTAATGCAGCCTTCAACGGCTATTGCTGTTTGATCATCATTGCTTTTTGGGTCTACGTCTCTATTGTAGTACTTATATATGTATCCCTTGAACATTGGTAAATACCTGAATCCAAGTACTCCTGCAGTTAGTAAGATTTGTGAGAACATTCTGAATGTGTTTGAATTTTTGTTAATATTAGCAAAGACTGCCAAATTGTCTCCGATAAAGTAGCATATTATGGCAATGACCATTAAAAAATTTGAGAAACAATATAAAAGAATTTCACCCCTTTTTTCCGCTCTCTTTTTGTCCTCAACGCACTTAGCCAATGCCTTTGTACCAATTCCAATTATCAGAATGATTACTGCTATTCCTAAAGCTACACCTCTATGACATCATCAGCAATGTTGATACACTTTATGTGCTTTGTTGTTGAAGCCTTGATGATCGATACAATGAAATCTTTTGCTAGGTCAATGATGAAGGCAGTAATTTTGAGGTCATCAAAGAAATTGACAGACTTGCCATAGACTTCTGCCTTATCAGTGCCCAGTTTCTTGCTGACTGTTTTTATTGTTCCTTCCATTGGTCCCTCTCTGTCAATAATAATAATAATAATAATAATAATGACAGCAATACTCTAGACAGAATAACTAATACACTAGAGAAAAGATGACAAAACAGCTTATTTATAGAGAAACATGAATCTATTAATAGAGTTTGAGAGAGTTACTAATAATAGAATTTTATTAATACATTTACTTGGGAAACACGATCTAAGTTTTTATTGAGACCAAAATTCCTTTGTTATTATAGTAATTAGCAATTACTATTACAAATAATAAGTACATGTACTATCACTACTATGAGTGCATGTTGGAGGAAATTAAGAGTTATACTGTCATGGAACATGTACTTCCCTTTTCCTCATTCATCTATTACTATGCGCTATTATACTACATGTAGCTATACAGTATTATACAGTATATTAGTTTTGATGAGGGAGGTTTGTGCTATTTTACCTTATGAGGCACTGTATGCACATATATTTATGTATGTACATTAATGTATTGGTTGGTGAAGTTACCAGTGGGTGTTAGTCCTCAGGTGAGGACACAGAAAAAGAAGAAAGAAGAAGAACAAAATGCTAGGACATGATTAATTTTATTATACTATACTATTCTTGCAATGCTTGCAATGCTTTGGCTAAATTAATATTGTAGGCGTGGCTCTATCAAATGGATTCCTGATATTGTACCAGACTAAATATAGGTGAAGTACTAGTATTGCTATTATTTTATGTGCATGCTTACTCTCTTTCCAATAGTGATTTATGAATGTGAAAAAGACACTGCTCCAAGAATCCTAACTTCATTGATTGAGGTATTTTAATTTTTAAAGGTAATTACAAAAACACAAATATACTAAAAATATTAAGAAACACACTACACAATGCTGCATGCACCATAATAATTATCAGTTAAAAATTGTTCCACGTTTTCATTTTGATGAAGGGCTTAGGAAGACACGACATACTTCCTACAGAATTTTTTGATGATTATGTAGAATTTAATGGCAAATGGGATCATGTATATAAGCACGGCAAAGAATGTCATAACAAGCCTTGTTGTGTTATTATGATTGCAGTATGGCCCTGGAATGTTGATTGTATTTGAATTTAGATTATTGCTTATAAATGTATTTGATACGGTACATTTGATGTGTCCAGAGCAATTCAACGGCTTGTTGTTATCCATGAGGAGATACAGAGCAGCAACGATCACAACTGATGTTGTAACAAATCCAGCCATTATCTTATCATCAATATTTGTCATTTGAGCTATGACCCTTTTAGCTTGAAGTATAAGATAGATGGCCAAACTTATCAGTATAATTGTATAGATGAACCAAGGCATGATGGTCTGGGCTGTGTTGCACTCCAATACTATGTTAGTTAGTATTGTGTATAGTGCATCTGTCTCCAATAATAGGGCTATGACATTGTTGATGAAGTTTTGCGACTTAGCCAAGTCTCTCCACTCCATTTCATCATCTTTAGTGTTATCGTCATGAAAGTGTTTTTGTACTACTTTCTTGAATCTTGGCACGAAAACGAATCCAGTTAATCCCATCACAAGAAGGAGTTGCGAAGCATAGCGATACTTACTGGCATTTTCACTTTGTATGTTGTAGAAATTGGTTATACTGTCACCAGCAAAATAGCACCAGTTAGCTAGTAGCATCATGAAATCAGCCACAATATTGCTAACCATTGCTGCTTTAGAGATTTCACTTCGATATACTTGTTTACATATTCCATAGAGAAACAAGCAAATGGTAACAACTCCTAACAAAGAGCCAGTCAAAGAAACAGCAACAATTTCAATAGTGTTCCAGCAATCAATTGACTCCTCCTCTTTAACAAACAACAAGGATACCTGGACTATTATGATTTTAAGGAGACTAAACGTGAAGACAGTAATCTTCATCTCATTGTACAGCTTCATAGTCTTAGCATAAGCTCCAGCTTGTTCTTGGGGTATGTGAACTTCAGAACTCATTTTAGGACTTCCAATTTCTGGAATCTTCTCCTCTTCTTAGATTTATTTGTATGAGGGACAAACTTTATGTTTTAGTTGGGAAGATAAACTTGGCAGTTGAAAGCTCTTGTTTATTCATCTCTTTTATATCAGACACCTTACTAACTAAGCATCAAGGGACAATCCCTAGGAAAGCCCCCTTTTACTTTATTTTAATTCTTATTATTCCCTGGTAAATTCCAAGGTAAATTCCCTATCGATTCCGCTTGTGAATTTGAATGTTAAATATAATTTCATACCTTGTTTGTTTGAAGGCATGCGAGAAGTATTAGTGTTGTTGACACTTTGCTTCCTTGTTCTATAGAACTGTATATACAATATGACTATATGCCCTATGAATTATCGATGTATTATTAACTTCATACTTATTGATTTCTTAGTGAATCACAAATAGCCGGCTATATTCACAGTATAAATGAACAGCCTTAGCTAGCTACATGTACATGTACATGTAGCTATATAGTTATTGTATGAGTAATAGTTGGTTACATCACCCTCTCTCCTCTTTTCTCTCTCTCTCTTTCTCATAGTAAAATATGCTGCTGATGTTATGGTTGCCAAAAAATTTTATACTGTAAAGTGACTAAAAGGAGGAAGTGGAGTAGATGAAGATGTACATGTGCCCTGCTTGGTATGTAGATAGTTTTTATAATACTATTTATTTATTTATTTATTTATTTCAGAAATTTACAGTACATATTAATAGAGAGAAGCAGAGTTAAGAAATGACAGTACTGAGGGTAAACTGAGGTACAACTGTATAGATGTATTATCACTGGCGGATCCAGAAAAATTAAAAGGGGGGTTCCATTTCACTTAAGTAGGTGTGGCTCATTAATTTTAATTAATAAAATAGAGGAAAAGTGCTGCAAACTGACTGCAAAGAATCCAAAGATACTACAAAAAGACAACTTCTTCAGCCAAAGAGGGGGTTCCATGGAACCCATGGAACCCCCCCTAGATCCGCCACTGATTATCACTGCTTTGAGTGCATGTAATAGGAAGGAGGAGGTGTATCTATACTGTACATCCCCTTTTCATTCTCCCTCACTAATCTATCACTGCACATTAATTTATGTACAATTATATTATTGTAATTGTTTCAACAATAGTTTATTATTTTTAAATGAGTGGGTGTTGGAATTTTGTAGGTGTGGCTTTATTGGTTGTTGATCAATTGAAGAGGATTTAACTCATTATAGGTAGAGTAAAATGACCTTATTGAAATAATAGTGAAGTAGGTGTTCATAATATCCAGCCTATTGTCATTGTACCTTATATACCTTACAATGTTCAAGGTATGCTGTGTTTGTATACGTGTACATGTACATTATTGCTTGTTTTTACAACTATGTACTTAGATCTACTATATGCAATGAACCTTAATATACATATACTAGTAACTATTACCATAAATCTTCTAAATATTCAACATTCTAACTTCGTCAAATAAATATTTTTTCCCAAATTTTCACAATATTACTTCTAATTATTCGATTATGCAAAATTACTGGCTGAGTATTCTAATTTCGACATAATCCTCTTATTTCAGCACATGATTGACCACGTGCTTCAGTCTACCTTACCAAGCAGCTGAGACTTTAGAATGACCCTCCCTCCAATTTAGTCAATAAAAATTATTTAAAAGTAAAAAAAAAAACATTTTTAACCTCTAATTTTTCAATATTAATAATTTTAAGGTGAATTTAATTTGCCGAATTTTTAGAAGATTTACAGTATACTATTTTGTCACTTGGACTTGGCCTGAATCTATTTGGCTCTGGGCTACATGTGTAGGCTCTGTATTAGTAATTAATTTTCACGCACTTAACTGATCATACTATTATTGTTAAAGATAATACATATTTCATTTAACTGTTGAAAGTAAATTTAATGCACATACATGTTACTGAAAAACATAATGTAGCTCTACTAATTACTTTACTCTTTATTGCACCTAAAACTGCATGTAGTAGTAAGTAGTACATGCTTTGTCTTATAATTTTGCTCTGGCAAAATAGGTTTTGCATTTTTACCTGTTCAATTGTCCTCATATCATAAATTTATCTAAGTTCCTAGCCCTTACTGAAAGCAGCATGTACCATTGCTTTTTGTTTACAACAACGAACAATTGTATCCAGTACATGCACATTGTGACAGTATAGTACATAAGTGAAGCCAACTAGTCACTATAACTTGGCCTGACACCTCAACTGGACAATAGTCCATCCAATTCTAGTAGTAATGTGCATAAGAAAGCCAACTAGTCACTACATTATAGTAGTCATGTGCAATAGGAAAGCCAACTTGTCACTAGAACTTGGACTGACACCTCAACTGGACAATTTTACAGCTTCATGTCTTGTGCCGGAATCATGTCATGCAGCTAGCCTCTGATTGGTCAGTTTTTGCTTAATTGCTAATGAATATTGATGAGGTACCTAATAGTATACAAGGAAGTGACCAGCAGCAGTCAATCACTTCTCACTAAAATAAGAAATCATCTCACAAGAAGAAGGAATACTGTCTATCAAGGAAAGGAATCATGAAGACTCTACTCTCACTCTTCTGTCTGGTTACTTACCTGACCTGTGCTCTGAGGTATGTTGCTACAGTATCAAATCAATGTTACTTTTCTCTTGTACATGCAGTGCTAATAGCTGGCCAGTCTCTCTTGACATGGCTTGTAATAAAGCTCTTTCTGCAGTTGCTTGCTCTTTTGAGTTTACCAACAATGCAAATCAGGATCTCTATCTGCTAAAACGTAACACTCCTCTTGAAGGACTCAACTCTCAATTCGTCTCTGTCTCTCTTGATGGTCGCCCACTGGAATATGAAGGTATTTATGCTTACCGTCTCCCTCCTACAAAGGATGAGTTTGTTCTCTTGAAGGCAGGTGAGAGTATTTCTGCCTCAGTCCAAATCACTGATGCCTTTAACATTGATACTGATGGTCTCTACACTGTACAATACAGTAGACCTTTACAGTATCTGTCAGTGAATGAGATGAGTGCAATGTCTATTGGTAAGCTCAGGGAATCGATTGTACGCAAATCCGTTCAACTTTATTTGGATGGCACTCGTCTTCTCTTTAAACCACCCAGGCCAAACAAAAAACTAAACTCTATCAAAACCCAATCATGCTCTACTGCTACATTTCTCAATGGTGATAGGAAAAATAAGGAAACACTAAAAGTTCATCAAAAGTTATGTGCTGGTACAGACACAGCTAAAGCTAATGTGAAGTATAATGAAGATTACAGGACATGGTTTGGTCAATACACTTGCTATAGAGCAAATAAAGTGAAATACACGTATTATTTAGTGAAAGATCTGCTACAGAGAAATGATATTGAGTATTATAACAACGGGCCGAAATGTGAAGCTAATATGATTGCCTATGCAAATGTCTACTGGACTACCATCTATCTTTGTGACAAGTATTATGACTTGCCTGCTGACTGTGCTAGTACTGAAGCAACTAAAGAAATGACTATTTTGAGTTTCCTGGGCAAGATTACAAATCATTGCAGCTTTCTTGCGGCATCAGATAACTCTCCAGTTACCGTGGAAATTTCTAAAATGATAGCCAGCCTGGCTCCTGATATGGCCATTGAGGCTTGTAGGAATATTGGATACTTCTACTGTGACTCTCAGTAATGGAGCTGATGGGATCATTTACTAAAAGCCAAGAACTTTAGAACTCATGCAACACTATAGGACATGCACAGTTTATTTTGGATTAATTAATAATACATTTTTGATCAATTGTTTATCTTGGCTTATAATAATAAAAGTTGTTTAAAGTAATGCAGTCTTGGAATAGGAATGGGGGAATTGGCTGAAGTTTGTTGCATATCGCTAATACATATTAATACCTTAGTATGAGTTTCTCATAGCAAGCTATGAGCTACATATTAAGTACATTCATGTCACTATGTCATTTGCTAATAGATCTAGCATTTTATACACCTAATGTATCAATACGCAATGTTGCATTTAAACTTTTTATGTTGAAGTCAATATGCATAATTAGCTGCTAATAAATTATTTAGCAGGCATGTACTGGTATGTTATGATTTATCCCTTCAATGCTGTGTTTGCCAGTATCTAGTTGTAGTGAATTGAAGTGACTGCCAATTTAAGAGCAGATTTGTACTATAGTGCACAATCTTGGGCCAATTGTTTTTAAAAGTGAAAAGGTGAGAATTCTCCATTTTCATAATTACATATACATGTTCTTATATCATGTAAAAAGTTTTAGCGGATTTCCATTAAAATTGATTATTTTACAAATTTTAAGTTTCTCAAAAATTGGACAAAAATCCCTGTACAATGTCTTTGGCCAAATTTTGCCAAAAATGAAAAGGCAAGAATTTTTATTTTTATAATTTTTGATAGTTGATACATGTACATGTACTTATGTTGTGTAGGAAGTCTGAGCTGATTCCTATAAAATTTAGGTTGTTTACAAATTTTTGAAGTTGCTCAAAAATCAAGCCAAATTAAAAAAGACCTTGATTTTGTCAAAAGTGGCTTGTAGGGAATTCTTTATTTCTATTGCATTTTTTGAGAGTTTTAAAAGAAAGTTTGACCTGTACATGACTTTTTCTTTGCATGTTATATACTGTAATTTTAAAAGCAATGTATCTTTTCTTTCTTATGAATGAAACAAAATATTTATAAGTATCTATACCAATTATAAGTATATACCTTAACTAAATGACAATTGATTACAAATAAACTTGTAGTCTTGTCTATATACATACAGTATAAAGTTTTATCTACTAGCTAAGTATACTGCTATCAATGTATGCCATTATACTTTCCCTTTCAGTCTTCCATACGCTTTATTCTGTACTACTGTAACCTATTACATATAAGAGATAGTATATTAAATGTAAAGTGGCATGGGAAATTGCTGTGATCGTAGTCTCATATGTATGAAAGAGTAAACATCATTAATATAAACATAAACAATAACAGTTAAGATTGCTTTATTTGGTAGTGTTATTTCACTGTGTTGTGTGTGTGTACTTGCAAAACTTACTTTTTGTGTTATTTGTGGCACATCATACACTGGTGCTTCTTTCTCAATGTCTATTATAAATAGTTATGCCATCAAGTTAAGATCTTTACACAACTAAATTATTATTTTATTTGTTAACATGGTCTGTGTATTGTTTTAAAATAATTACGTTTTTAATCTTACTTTCATTTCTTATTTTATGAATTCCATATGCAGGGTTATTGACTCTCTCCTGTGGTATAGTCATACTTGTTTCACGTGCTAAATTGTACAAATAATTATTGTATGCTCACTGATAGCTTAACTTGCTTTCTCTATTTCTGCTTGAAGGAGGTGTATCTTCTATTTTATTCTTTTCTGTTAGCTGCCATCTTGCTAGTGGTCTTACATTTTCATAATCTAACCCAATGATAGTAATAACAATAACATTGATCACATTTTTGATCCAGTAATGAGTAAGTGAATAATAGTTACCTTGTGGTTGTTCCTCTATGTTGTTGTCATTAGTTCTTGAACTCACTACACTCTGTGGGTCAGTATAACGTTCATTTTCTGAAGTGTCAATTCCTTTTTTAAATCTTCTCCTACACACTAACACACTCACCAATATTATTACCAGTATAGTAGCTACCAGTACTATAAATACTGCACAACTAGCTAGTATTACTGTATTACTGACTGTAGATATATTGCTTTGAACAGTAGCCCCAGTAGATACTGTAGTTAATGGACTATCATCAATTGATGCACCACTGGTAGGAGAGGTAATGAATGATGTGTACATATCAGTAGTTGTTATTATTGCAGCAGTATCTAGAGTGTGGGAGTATGATGAAAGTGTAAGTGTATACTAGTACTAGCAGACTACAATGCATAATGTATGAATAACTTACCTACTATAACTGATATCAGTGGATAGTCATTATGTTCCAATGGTATTAATCCATTACTGCTATCAAGCTCATAATTCAATGGTCCATTGTATTGTTGATAATACATTGGATTACTATTAGTGGTTACATTGATTACTAATATATCTCCATACTGTACTTCAATATCACTTGTAAAGTTATATACATTACCATTACTTGATGTAGCAGCAGAAGCATCAACAGTTAGTGCATGAATCAGTTCAGAAGAACGCTTTAAATAAATGTTAGGATAATGTTTGCTTGTATCCTGATTCTGTGTAATACCAATTATCCAGTTAGTAATAATACCATTACATGTGAACTGTATATCAGGAAAAGCTCTTGTATCATTGACTGGTATTACATTAGTAACTGATAGACTGTTTGTATTAAATGAACCGTCAATTGGAGGATAACTGCAATTGCTACCTATAAACACATTACAAATAATGAATATAATCATTTCATTAATAAGATACTTGTAATTGGATATATTAGGATGCTTGAGTTTTGTAATATTATTTCACCGTCTCTAGGATCTTTTTCGACAGCATCATCATTTTTAGTAATATCAACTATTCGTCCAATTTGACCAGTTCCATTTACTTTATAAAATCTAACAACACTTCTATCATCAGGAGGTTGATATATTCCTAGTCTGTAACCTCTGAAATCATCCTCAATATATAAAGGAGTTGGTAATCTAATACGATATAGTCCATTGGTAGTGAAATTGTGTGGAGATAATTTCAATGGAACTGATGATGAAATTCTTTTGTATCTAAATAAACGTTCTCCCCATATCTCTATTCTAGGATATTGGTTCCTGTTATCAGTTTCAGTTCTAATGTCAACTCCAACTAATACTTCAGTCAGTGAACTAATGCAACCCTCACTGAACTGCATATCAGTGATGATCCATCTTGTTACTACTGATTCTGCTAGTCTTGCAGTAGTTGGTCCATTGTTGTTAGTACTGCCAGTTTTAGCCTCCAGTAAACTTAGTTCCATAAATCCTTCAGTACTACAAGCATTAGACTGTACTGTACCATTTAACAGCAAAAGAATAATCAAAAATGAAAGGAAAGATAGGAAAGAAGGCATGTTTACTGTTATCTGAGAGTGTTTAGTTTTGCTGCTAATATTTATATGCAACACCACCCACACATAAATTTGCAATTGCATTTATAAAATTTTGCATTAACGACTAATGTTGAATTTAAAAAAAGATTACGTGACCCACACACTTAATGTTTTTTTTAAAGCACAAGTTGGGTTCCTCTGATCAGCACCAAAATAAACAATAAATATAAACAATGAACTTTATGTGCATTAGTTAGTGTTATTATGAACTCCTTCATGATAACAGTAATGATGTTGCTTATGTATTTATGCTAGGTAAAATGTTTTGAATTGTGGCTATTTTTAAGAAGTGGCAAATTTTAAGGCTATAGCCCATAGTTTTTCAAAAAATGGCTCCAAAATCACCCCAATTTTTTATTACATTTTCTGATACATATTGATGTCCTTATGCTGTGTAGAAAGTTTGAACTGGTTCTGACTTTGATTTTTCAAGCTGCAGCCATTTTAAGAAAACACCAAAATTCTAAAAAATACCCAAGGCTATATAGTCTTGGGTTTTTTTCCAGAAATAGATCAAAATTGCCCCAAATTTTTATTACAATTTCTGTTACATATTGATGCTGTTATGCTGTGTAGAAAATTTGAGATGATTCCGATTAAAATAGAATTTTTTTACAAATTTTTAAAAGTTGCTCAAAAATTGAACCAAAGTCTCTGTACTATAGTACACATACGGTTTTTGGCCAAATTTTGCCAAAAATAAAAAGGTGAGAATTCCGCATTTTTACAATTTTATCTGATGCATATACATGCACTTATATTGTGTAGAAAATTTGAGCTGATTCAGTTTCAAATCAATTTTTTACAAATTTATAAAGTTTTTCAAAAATCAGACCAAATTGTCAAAAGTGGCTAGGAGAGAATTCTTCATTTTTATTACATTTTCTAATAATTTTTAAAGAAAGTTTGACCTGTACATGACTTGATTAGCCATTCAATACTTCTCCACATTATATACTGTAATTTTTAACTTTTCTTTTTTTATAAATGAAACAAAATATTTTTAAGTATACCTTAACTAAATGACAATTAGTTATAAACTTGTAGTCTATAAACTGGTAGTCTTGCCTACATACATATAATGCTTTATTATGTACTCTTGCTACTAGGTAAGTACTGCTATCAATATATGCCATTACAAATACACTTTCAGTCTTTCATATGCTTCATTCTGTACTACTGTAACCTATTACATATAAGAGATAGTATATTAAATGTAAAGTGGCATGGGAAATTGCTGTGATCATAGTCTCATATGTATGAAAGAGTAAACATCATTAATATAAACATAAACAATAACAGTTAAGATTGCTTTATTTAGTAGTGTTATTTCACTGTGTGTGTGTGTACTTGCAATACTTACCTTTTGTGTTATTTGTGGCACATCATACACTGGTGCTTCTTTATCAATATCTATTATAAATAATTACACCATAAGTTAAGATCTTTACACAACAGATTTATATGTTTAAAAATTATTACGTTTTTAATCTTACTTTCATTTCTTATTGTATGAATTCCATATGCAGGGTTATCAACTCTTTCCTGTGGTATAGTTATACTTGTTTCACATACTAAATTGTGCAATTACTGATTGTATGTTCATTTATAGTTTAACTTGCCTTTTCTATTCCTGCGTGAAATAGGTTTATTTCCTATCTTATTCATTTCTGTAAGCTGCCGTCTTGCTAATGGTCTTACATTTATATAATCTAACATAAATAATGATAATAATAACAATAATATTGATGAAAGTTTTGATCTATTAATGAGTAATTGAATTATAGTTACCTGGTGGTTGTTGCTCCATGTTGTTGTCATTAGTCCTTGATATGACTACACTGCGTGGGTTGGTATAACATTTATTTTCTGAAGCATCATTTCCTTTTTTAAATCTTCTCCTACACACTAACACACTCACTAATATTATTACCAGTATAGTAACTACCAGTAATAAAAATACTGCACTACTAGCTAGGATTACTGTATTACTGACTGTAGTAGATATATTGCTTTGAAAAACAGCTTCAGTAGAATCTGGATCACTTTTTGAGCTATCATTAACAGATGTACTACTGATGGTTGATACTATAGGAAGAAGACTAGCTGTACCATCACTGATCAATGGAGTAGGACTAGTAACAGAAAGAGTTGGAGGGAGAGTGTTTGATAATTGAGAGAGAGTGTTTGATGGCTGAGGGAGTATTTTTGTGATGTGAGGTGTATTGTATATTAAGGATGATTGAGAAGGTGTATTTGTGATGTGAGGTCTATTGTATATTGAGGATGACTGAGAAAGTGCACTTGTGACGTGTAATGAGGAAGTATTAGATGGTATGGGAGAGCTGGATGAAGCCGAACCTAATGAGGTAGTGGATAGTTTATACTTGTTAGTAGTAGTTGTTGGTGTACTAATTTGGGAGCTTGTTGAAAATATACTAATAGTAGTAGTGGATGCTACAGTTATTGATCGAATAGGCTCTATATAACGAAAAGGCTATCAGATACATTCAGTATAATAAAATTTACCTACTACAACTGATATCAGTGGATAGTCATTATGTTCCAATGGTATTAATCCATTACTGCTATCAAGCTCATAATTCAATGGCCCATTGTATTGTTGATAATACATTGGATTACTATTAGTGGTTACATTGATTACTAACATATCTCCATACTCTACTTCAATATCACTTGTAAAGTTATATACATTACCATTACTTGATGTAGCAGCAGAAGCATCAACAGTTAGTGCATGAATCAGTTGAGAAGAACGTTTTAAATAAATGTTAGGATAATGTTTGCTTGTATCCTGATTCTGTGTAATACCAATTATCCAGTTAGTAATAATACCATTACATGTGAACTGTATATCAGGAAAAGCTCTTGTATCATTGACTGGTATTACATTAGTAACTGATAGACTGTTTGTATTAAATGAACTGTCAATTGGAGGATACTTGCAATTGCTACCTATAATTTTAAAAATAATTATTAGTGAATTTCTGATAATAATTGGCATACTCATATTGGTAGGGTGTATTAGGATACTTGAAGTTTCTATTTTCATCTCCCGATGTTTTGTGATGCTGTACTCATTAATATCATCATCATCTACTCTTCCAATTTGACCAGTTCCAGTTACTTTATAAAATCTAACAACACTTCTATCATCAGGAGGTTGGAATACCCCTAGTTTGTAATCAGTATAACTGTTAATGATTAAAGGAGTAGGTAGTGTATAACGATACACTCCATTAGTAGTAAAATTTTGTGGAGATAGTATTAAGAAAATTAATTTTCTTTTGTAAAATTCAATATCTTTTTCCTGTCGTTTAGTGCGATTTTTAGTTCTTTTTGTTTTAGTTCTTTTTGTTTTAGTTTTTCTTGTTTTAGTTTTTTTTGTTTTAGTTTTTTTTGTTCTAGTCGTTTTTGTTCTAGTCATTTTATCACGTCGACTTCGTTCTTTCCATATCTCTATTTTAGGATATTGATTCCTGTCTTCAGTTACAGTTCTAATATCAACTCCAACTAATACTTCAGTCAGTATGCCATCATCTCCACTGCAATTGAGCCTCTTTATTTCTTCAGTAATGATCCATTGTGTCTCCATTGTTTCAGACAGCTTACGAGCAGTTCGTCCATTGTTGTTAGTACTACCAGTTTTAGCCTCCAGTAAACTTAGTTCCATAAATCCTTCAGTACTACAATCATTAGACTGTACTGTACCATTTAACAGCAAAAGAATAAGCAAAAATAAAAGGAAAGATAGAAAAGAAGGCATGTTTACTGTTTTCTGAGAGTGTTTAGTTTTGCCGCTAATATTTATATGCAACACCACCCACACATTTTAATTACATCTTGTTGCACAATTTCAATGTGCCACCCACACACTTAATGTTTTTAAAGTCTCTCTGATCAACACAAAAATAAACAATAAACATAAACAATAAAAAAGAAGCATTGAATTGCTTAATATGGCAATAACTTTATGTGCATTAGTTAATGTTATTATAAAATCCTTCATTAAAAGTAATGATATTTCATATTTTATCTACAGGCAATATATTCCCTATGTGCTGGAATACATTGAATCTCATCAATGTGATACCAGGAATGACTACAAATCATTAACTTCTATCAAGTTCATCTTTTTTCATCTACTTCACTGAAAAAATAATTAAAGTTACTTTAAAATATGTACATCTACATAAATATACACTATTCAATTAAGAAATTATTTATGACGGTACATGCACTGACTAGGCACCACCTCAGTAATGTAAATGCATGTCTGGAAGGTCAAGGGTGGGAGTAGGGTCTAATATAGTTAGTATGTTATGTATCTGTCTCCAATATTAGGGCAATGACCGTTTGTTGATTAACTAAGTCTTTCCACTCAGTTTCGTTTAGCGTTATGTGTTTTTGGGCTACTTTCTTGAATCTTGGCATGAAAATAAATCCAGTTAATCCCATCACAAGAAGGAATTGTTATAGTTATTACACTTTCACTTTGTACATTGTAGAAATTGGTTATACTGTCACCAGCAAAATTACACCAGTTAGCTAGTAGCATCATGAATTCAATGGTGGGGAGAGCCAGTAACATGGCCTACATGTGGGAGTAGCTAATGGTACACACATTCCTGCAATTTCCTTGTATAATGGAACTGGCTCATTACATGAGTAACGAGGATGAGTAACAAACATGAGTCATGTTTTATTTTGTGGATACATTTAATAAACTTTCAATTGCCAAATTATGAGCTATGGCCCATTGGTTTTGACAAATTTTGAGCAACTTAAGAATTTATTAAATTGTCTATTTTATGAATTTATAAACTTTAAATTCATAAAAATTTATTATGTATAGATATTCCTGTATAATCCTTGTAAAATTGTTATCAAGGTGACATTGTTAGTCATTATAAAAGTGTCCTCAATACCAGGAATATGAGATAATGTGTATTACTGTTAACTATATTATTAAAAGTACAATAATTATTACTATACTGACATCATGTCATTATTATTATTGTTTCTGTTAGATGTACAGTTCATCTTCTTCATTCTTTATTACCTCATCCTATACCAATTGAAATAATATGTAATTGTAATAGTCACACTCAGTATAGTTACACAATATTCTTTTGACCAAGTGAGTCATACAATGGTCTTATACTATAAATAAATATCACAATAAATTGATGTATAGTATACCTCTGATTGATTAAACATCATTGTTCTTGGTTCATCATATACTAATGCTTCTTCATCAATACCTGTAATAATTCAATACAGTATGTCACACTATATAGAGCATAA